TCCGAGCCTGGGGCCTCCACTCCAGGGCCTCAGGGCCCGGCCTGGCAGCCTGGGAGGGCGGGAGGCCCCAGGAGGGCACGCCTTGGCCCTCACAGGCCTGGGGGGCACGTTCCCTGAACCTCGCTTCAGGCTCCACAGATTTTCCTCCGATTGAGATCGGTGCCCCCCTTCCTTCGACGCCCCCCCCCCCCAGAGAGCCGGCTCCGAGCCTGGGGCCTCCACTCCAGGGCCTCAGGGCCCGGCCTGGCAGCCTGGGAGGGCGGGAGGCCCCAGGAGGGCACGCCTTGGCCCTCACAGAGCCCCCAGGGCCTCCCCACAGCCCCTGCCCGGCCCCCCTGCCCCAGCAGATGCCCAGACCAGGCAAATTGTATTTAAAGATTCCTGGGGGTCATTATGGCATATTACAAACTGTGACCGTTTCTGTGTGAATATTTTTAGCTGTATTTGTGGTCTCTGTATTTATATTTATGTTTAGCACCGTCAGTGTTCCACTCTCATTTTAAAAAGGAAGAAAAAAAAAAAGAGGGAAAATTACAAAAAGAAAAAAAGTGAATGACGTTCGTTTAGCCAAGTAGGAGTAAATAAATAAATAAATCCCCTCGTGTTACCCTCCTGTATAAATCCGACCTCTGGATCCGTTCTCGAATATTTAATAAAACTGATATTATTTTTTAAAGTTTATATTCGCATTTCTGTCAGTTCGATCTCCCGCCGGCTTGGAGCAAGCTCCAAGCGCTCCCGCGTCTGCCCGCCGCCTGCAAACCCCCAGTCTTCTGCACTCGCCTTCTCCGGGAGACCGGCGCCGAGTCCCGGCCTCCGGCTCTTCCTGTGAACGCGCTGGGGGGCTGGGAGGCCTCTCAGGGCTCCGTTCGCCCGAGCAGCTCACACCCGCAAAAAAGGCCGGTTAGGATTTCGTTAGGGGCGGGGGTGGGGAGGGGGGAGCCCGGGTCGGGTTTGGCTCCAAGCTCCACACAGGCCTTTCTTCTTGCCAGTGATAGTCTAGGGTCCTGGCCTTCCGAACCCAGAGCCCCAAAAGGCCAGAAAAGAAGCACTCTGCAGGCACCAGGGTCGCCCCCGCCCACTCCCAGGAGCTTGGGGAAGGGGAGCCTCGCGAGTAAGGCCCCCCGGCCCGCGCAGGCCGGCTGTTTCCAAACGTGGCGGAGGCGCAGAGCGGAGGGGAACAGAAGACCGTGCGACTCGAGTCCTTCGGCGGGGATTGATTCAAGGACATCACGAAAGAGAAAGCCTGGAAACTGAGCTCTCGCCTGCGCTGGGACTCCTGACGTGGCCGGGACAAAATTCCTTCTTCCTTACAGCCCCAGCCGGTCTGGCTCTTTCCTTTTCTCTCCTCAAACCTGGAGGGCGAGGGAAGCATATCACCCTAGCTATCATTCAGCTCTGGCCTTCTCTTCCCGAGCCTAGCCAGAGAAACCTGAGTGAGCCTAAGGAAGAGGTGGTAAAAGGATCTCCCCGAGGGGAAAAAAAATCCGCCAGAGTTTTCCAGACTCTCTAGATCCCCACCAGCGCCCCCTCCAGCACCTCCGCCAGCCAGCGGGGAGGGACGCTTCTTCTGGCAGAAGAAGAGATATCTAGGGAAGAAGCAGCCAGGAAAGAGTAAAACCTGGGACTAGGAGAGGAAGAGAAAGGCCTTCAGAGACCCTGGCCGAAGGCTGCCATGGTTGCCCAGGCGATTGTCCTGCCCAACCTCCAGCCAGGCCCTCTCCATGCTTCCAAAAAAGCTTAGAAATTGCTCTCTGCCTTCTGGATTCAGGTTCTTGGAAAGCCTGGATTAGGAGTCTTTTCCCCAAAGAGTGCAAACAGGCCTTTCCCTCTGCTCTGCTCATGTAGTATTTGTGGAGGTTCCTCTCTGTGGCCTCAAGTAACATCTATTTTCTATCTAAAGTACCTACCATCTGTACCACATGAGGATCACACACAAGGATGCAGAGCAGTCTTCCATGCCATTGTGTCTGGTTCTAGATACACACATGCATGCATAGATCATGTACATACACACACACACACACACACACACACACGCACACACACACACGCACTTAAAAATGGCCCATTGCCACTCTGAGGTTCCTGGCATAGTGAAGTAAGCCAAGTCCTCCTGGCTCCTCACCTCTAGGCTCATCCCAGAGCTGCCAGTGCTGTCAGCCTCGTGACCTCCCTGTCTAGTTGTGCCCACCTAGGAACTCTCCTCTTGGGCATCCTGTCTACCTCTTCACCAGCCGAGTCCACTTTCCCATACTGATAGGCACATTCTCAGCAGTGTCGGGGCCTTAGGCCCTCTGAGGCAAAGAATCTCAACCTTTAGTTTAAGGAACCTGAGTTACACTTGGTTCTCCAACTTGGGCAGTGGCTGCATTTTTACTCAGCCATTTTTGAAGTTTAGCAGGCCCTGGTGTTAGGGAAAACGGGCTATACATTACAAAAAGCATCTCTGTACATCCTAAATGAGGCCTCATCTTTTTCTCAAATTTAAGTAGAATTTAAAAGGCCTGCCCAGGAAATCTTTGCAGCAACCACCACTTTTTCCACAGGATAGAAAATCCAGGCACCAGAAGGCTAGCCGCGCATCAGGACGCAATTCCTCCAAGTTGGCACCAGGTGTCGCTGTGGGCTCGTTGTCCCGGCTACCCCCCAATTCCAAGAACCATTTTTTCCCCCTTCCCTCTCTCCCGGTCTCACTCCCTCTCCCCCTCGGTTGGGCTTTGCCAACATATCAAGATGCGTTTCGCCGGCTTCCATCACTAACCTCCCGGAGGTCATCAAGCCAAATTTATGAGTGGCCGCTCGAGTCACGTGACTCTATTTAAGGCTCCCTTATTTGGGAAGAGCGCATAGGATAAAGAAAGAGATATCTCCACCTATAAATTGTGCACTTTGGAGAACAAAAAACCCCTCAACTTCAAAGAGTCACAAATCACCCTTAATCAAAAAGGGTGCAGAAATTTTTTTTGGGCCCTCCCCGACATGAGCTCCTACGTAGCCAATTCATTCTATAAGCAGAGCCCCAATATCCCTGCCTATAACATGCAAACTTGTGGGAACTATGGATCGGCCTCAGAGGTGCAGGCATCCAGGTACTGCTACGGCGGATTGGATTTAAGCATCACTTTCCCACCGCCTGCGCCTTCCAACTCTCTCCACGGGGTAGACATGGCTGCCAACCCCCGGGCTCACCCCGACCGCCCCGCCTGCAGCGCCGCGGCCGCTCCGGGACACGCTCTGGGCAGAGACGAAGCGGCTCCTCTCAACCCCGGGATGTACAGTCAGAAGGCAGCTCGCCCGGCGCTGGAGGAGCGAGCTAAGAGCAGAGGGGAGATCAAAGAGGAGCAGGCGCAGACAGGGCAGCCCGCCGGACTGAGCCAGCCACCGGCCCCGCCACAGATTTACCCGTGGATGACCAAACTGCACATGAGCCACGGTAAACTTTAGGACTTCATTTTGCGCGCTCGGGTCCGCCTGGGTTTTATAGGCCATGCGGGGCAAATAAAGAAAAAAAACCTGCGGCCATAAATTTTACGATCCAGGCATCAATGGCTCGTAAAACTGTCCACTAAAAGGCTTAGAGGCTGTGTGCGCCCAAATTTACGACGACATAATTGGATCATAGGAACAAAACGTGTATAAAAGGCAATATTCAATTTTTGGGGGAGAGGGAGGGAGTTAAAAAAATAGAGGGATCTGAAGGGTGAGGAGCGCGGGTCTCCAGAGCGGGGATCCCCCCGCGGCTCCCTCCTCCCTCCCCTGCGGAGCCCGCTCGGCCGTCGCTCGCGGCTCCGGAGGATTCCAGCGACTCGGGAGGGGCGGGAGGGGGGTCCCCAGTGCTCGGATCTCGAGAGTGCTTATTGTTCGGTCCGAGCCTGGGTCTCCCTCTTCCCCCCACCCCCCCTCAGCCCTCCGGCTGCTGAGTGAAGGCCGCGTTGGAAAGTTTCCTGCCTGGGCGGAGGCGCCTTTCCTGGGGCTCGGCTGGGCTGGCCCGCCCGCTGCGGCCTGCCGGGCCTGTCTCTCGGCGCTGCCTCTCCCTCTGGCCGCGGGTGGGGGCCTGGGACTGGGGTGGGATGCTGGGGCGCTGCACGCTATTCACCCCTTCCTGGCTTGGGGGGATTTATGTTCCAGAGACGGACGGCAAGCGGTCCCGAACCAGTTACACGCGCTACCAGACTCTGGAACTGGAGAAAGAATTCCACTTTAATCGCTACCTCACTCGCCGCAGGCGCATAGAGATCGCCAACAATTTATGTCTCAACGAGAGACAGATCAAGATCTGGTTCCAGAACCGCAGGATGAAGTGGAAGAAAGATTCCAAAATGAAAAGCAAAGAGGCTCTTTAGAGGCAGCAGGAAAGCCCATGGAGAGCACCCCAACCGGGCTCGGTCCCTGCGCCTTTCCTCTTCGGGTTTTTCTCTCTATATATTTTGGGGTGGGGGCAGGAGCTAGAGCTTTGGCTCCCAGGCCTCACAGACAAAAGCGCTTTTCCTTGGTATTCTGCATCCCCCACTGACCCAGGGTTTCCCCGAGGCTGCCCTCTCTGCCTGTCTCCCCTCAGCTCAGCAAAGTTCAGCTTAGCTCAACTGGGCACCTGAGGCCCAGGGTAACCTCTGCTGGGCCTTCCCAGAAGGCTGGAGCACCATAGGCTAGTGCTGGAATAACCTCAGCCTGGAACACCTCTCTGGTCCCTCAGGCCTGCCTGAGTTAAGGTGGGCCCAGCCTCCAGACTCCCACTCTTTTGTTTCTGGCTAGGCGAGCCGGGCGGCCACAGGCAGGAGAGAGTGCTTGTGCCTGGCAGAATCCCTTGCCAGACTGGGGTGCTTCCTCATAGTGACTAAACTTGGTCTTCATTTATTAACAATTTGCATATGAAAAAGGGAGAAGACTGAATATGGGCCTAGGGCCCCTGTGTTTGCCCTATCCTCTCCACATATTCTCCCCTACCCTAAGTCGGGGAACCTCCCAAGCCCTCGCCTGCTGCATGCCCTCTCAGGCCCGCAGCCCCAGCCTGCTAGCTAGCTCAGCTATTGGGGCTTCCTGCCATTTGGACCCCAGCAAATAGTCCTAGAGGCTCCTTGCTGTCCCATAGTTCCTGCCATGACTTTCTTGCCCTGCTGCCCCGTCGCTGTTGCCCAACTATTTATTGACTCCAGGTCCTTCCTGAAACTATATTTTGTCATATCAAATAAAGACAAAAAGAGAACAGAATTAAAGATGCAGTGGCTCCTGTCTGTTTAGGGCATGATTGAGTAAGTGTCTAAATGGGTTGTGAGGTTTAGGATGAGGGCCAAAATCTGTAAGCCTCCCCTTTAAAAGAAAATGTTTTTAAGCGTTTCTAGGGGCAGCAAGAAGAGGGAGGTGAAATAGAGTTCCTTTTCTGATTCTTGGTTCCAAAAAGGGTTTTGGGGGAAAGAGGAAGGCACAGGCCTCTTGTACTGGCTTTTCCCGAGCTATGCTGTGGCGTCCAAGGTATCTGAAGTTTCTAGACTGGCAGTAGCTTCCACTCCGTGCCAGACCGAACATGTGAGGACCAGTGGCTCCGCTGTGCATGGTGCATGCTCAGACTCAGGCCTTTTGGGCCTCTGAAACTCTCTCCTGGGACTAGGTGCTCCTTGAAGGAGCCTTACTAGACACAGAGGGAGGGCTGAGCCCTCAGTCTAGGGACTCATTTGGCCCCAGTAACATCCCCTAGAGAAAGTTGGTACTGCTTGGAGGTACAATGCTTGAAGGAGATGGCAAGGTATGTTTTAGCTAAGATATCAGGGGAGAGGGGAGCAGGGAGAGCAATCTGCTGGGGGCACTTGCCTGGCCAGAAATGTTCAGACTGTTTCCTAGGGCTAGGAAAATTAACCGGGATGAGAACTGCATAGAGCAAGGCCAGAGTCATGTCTGTTTGCCATCATTTATCTCAGTTCCTAAGATTTTGTTTGGAGGGGGAGGGTGACCTACTGGGAGCATAGAAAGGCAGCTAATTCAAGTGGTGCCTAAGGCTGGCCTAGGCCCACTCTGTTCTGCACAGCTCCAGGCTCCTGGGATGGGCTGAGGGAGGAAGCACTTTGCAGGAGAAACAAATGTGGGAAGGGTCCATAAAACTTTACTGCATTTCCTCTCCTGCCTCCCACAATGGGGTGATTTCCTGGAGCCTAGCCTAGGCCCCCAACACTGTTGGGGTGGGGGTCTGGAGCTGGGCTAGTAGCTGCTCCAGCAGCCAAGAGGGAAAGGGAGCAGGGTGGTTCTGGGGAGGGGCAGAGAGAATATTTATGATTATTAATGCTGATGCTCTTTGGATTTATTATAAGGACTGACTCTGTCCTTATCCTCCTGCCTAAGCTACCTGTCCATCATTTTTTAGAAGACCTGAGAGCCTTTTCTTGCTCCACACTTAGCACATAGGAGGTCTCATGACATGTTTTTGAGCTGCATTCATGACTACCACCCTTACCCTTCACACTGAACTCTGGCCAGGTTAAGGCATCAGTAGTGTTTCTCTTCAACTTGCTCAAAGCCGGTCAGTCCAACCCACCGGCACCAACTTACAATCTCTCCCCCACCCTCTCTGAAATAAAATGTGTAATTTTCTTCAGGGAGTTATTTTAATTTTTTCTCCATGCTGAGTAAAACTATTGGGCGAGCAGTGAAGCATGAAGAAGCACTGGCATCTCCAATGGGTACCAGTTAAATAAGAAAGGGGCTGTGTCATAGCACTCACCCGCTCCAGCCTCCCAAATCTGCTTCTTCCCTAGGGGACAGACCAGGAAAGAGAACCAAAGGCTTTTCCCTGGGAAGGGGTAAGGCTGACCAGACCTGCCGGGCCAGGTGCAGCAGCCCTGCTGTGCACTGACTGCTCCTCCCAGCAGGATTTGGGCCTCTCTTTCCCCGAGTTGCTGAAGAACTGACTAGGCTGGGCCAGGCTTGGGAAGACTCTGCTGTGCCTACTTGTTCTCCTCCCTCCTGTCACAGTCTGCAGGCCTGCTCCCAGGCTCAGCCTCAGCTTCAGCGGAGCCTTGCAGCAGCACTCAAGCCAGAGGCCCCAGAAATACTCCCCTGCGCTGGGGGCGGGTGAGGCCCAGACCCTTGATCTCTCCAAGAACAGAAGCTTCTGCTTAGTGTCTAGGAGTAGCTGTCCCACCCGCCAGCCAGCCTCTTCACACAATCTCCAAGAACCAGGGTTTGGCATTGCACTGGGGCGGTAAGTGGTAGGCCTTCTGGGTCCCAAGGAGACCGTGAAGCTTGCCTTTCCATTTTGCCCTGGATCCCACCCACTCTGGCAGCAAGAAAGAAGGGGATGAAGCATGACTTACCTTCCCCGGGGGAGTGGGAAGAGGGGACACGGCCCACTCTGAGCATTTAGAGGAGAGAGAAGGAAAAAATAGGAAGAAAAAAAAATATCAACACGACCTCGAAGGCGACAGGTCCTTATGGAAATAAGTAAGTAAATAAATAAGGATCCATCCTCTCCTTCCTCCCCACCCTGTAAGGGGGTGTGGGGGTGGGGCAAAGGAGCAGCACGAGGGCTTTTTAGTGTAACTGAGCATTAGAGAAATAGGCACAGCTTCTATGTGAATTTAGGAGTTTGAAAGTTTTGGAGGTTATTTATGTGAATGGCCCGAAGGCAAGCCCCTGAGTGGCTCTTGGGGGACCACGTGATGTCATTAAACCAAGTTTTATGGTGTAGGGAGAGCTGACAAACCCACAATATATTTACATCATATATAATCTTAACTGTCCAGCCACGCAGCTGCTGGTGAGGTTTAATGCTAGGACAGAGGGCCTGGCAGTTAGAGGGGATTACGGCGCTGGGGATGATGGTGAGAGAGGTTACATCTTGGAAAATGAATCCCAGGCGAACGCTGTAAGTTAATTCTCTCCCCTTCTGAGACCTTTCCTTCCATTTACCTAACTTCCACCTCACCCCTTGAGAGAAGGTAATTCCCACTCATTAAGGGGAAAAAGGAAAAGCCTCGCTAGGCCTCCCCAGGCAGGGATGGGAGAAGGGAAGAAGCTGCTGGGAATTAGGAAGATGGGGGAACTGACTCCTCAGACCAGGCCTCCTCCCTCTACTCCTTATTCCCTCTGACTCCAAGTCAGCTTGTGCAGGAAGAACCCTTGGCTCTTTAGATCTCTGCAAGATCTCTCAATCAGGAAGAAAGCCTGAGGCAGAGACATGGGTGTTTGGTATTTGTAGGAATGTGTAAACTCTAGACCAGTGCAAAGTGCCTCCCTAGGGTCCCCTGTTCCAGGGAGGGGAACAATTCAGCCCTTGGCCAGTGGCCCAGAGTCCAGGCAGAGGAGGAAGCTGGAGAGAAAGATAGGGAAGGAGCCCTCTGGAGCTGCAGAGTACACAGGCTCCTGCTTGGACTGGCCCCAGAGTCTCTCCTCTCCTGCGCACCATTAGGCAGGGGTAGTGGGTAGCTTCTCAGTCTCCAAAATCTGAGGTCTTAGTTTGTAGGGGCCATTGTGGTTTTTGATTCCCCCTGCCCCTAGCTGGTGGGGTCTTCCTTGCCTTGGCTAAAAGTAGGCCCCAGGAGGTCTACAGGGCTCTTTCTGTGAGTGTAGTGCTGCTCACTGGACATGGGAGGAGGGAGTCGATGCAGTGTTTGCTAGGCTGGGAAAGCTTCCCAACCAGAGGACAGAGTGGCCTCTAGGGGATGGAGCTAGCAAGGTTCAATGTGTGCACTGTAAGGGGAGGCAGTTCTCAGGTGGGGAGCCTTTGGGTTTCTAGGTAGGAGCAGGAGAGGAACTGGGCATGGGAGGTACAGTGTCCTCCACATCTGTGAATGCAGACACCCCTCCCTTTGCGCACAGCACCTTCACAGGGAGCTAAGCCAGGAAAGTGATGTGAATTCAGTCCCCTGTGAACTGGGAGGGATTCATCAGGGCTAGAAAGGGAAGGGGAGCAAAGGGGACAATTTCCTGTACAGGAGGCCTCCTTGGGGTGAAAGGGTCTTGGTGTCTGCTTGCGGAGAGGTGCAGTTGAGGAATGGAGAGGACATGCTATTAGCACCACCCAGGCCTCCCAAACCAAGGACTAAAGAAGAAAGAAACAAGTAGAGAAAGATAGATCAGGTCCACTCAGGAAGGACAGAGGCCCAAAGAAAAAGGGAGTCCAAGCCAAGCTTCTTTGTAAGGAGTGTAGGGCTCCCTGATCTCAGGCCTCAGTCCTCCGACAAGATGTGGCCTCCCTCAGCCTTCTCCCAGACACCCTTATTTCCCTGGGAAGCCTTAGGATCCTGGATGATTTTTTCCAACAGTTCATTCAAAAAAACTCTCAGGTTCTCCTCTCCCCTTTACCTGCCCTCCTCAACTCTATTTTCCCACCAGTCTGTGATCTTAAAGATTTCTAGAAACTTTCCTATCAATCCAAGCATCAGGGAGATGGGAGTTTCCTTTGGTCTATAACTTGACTCTAGCCCTTCCCTCCAGCCTCCTCAGGGCCCTAGCAGAGTCCAGTGGTCTTTAACCAGGAATTTAGCCAGAGCCAAAGTCCCACACTCTAGCTAGATTCCACCATGCTCCTTGACCCCAGGCAGATCTTAGTCCCATTTCCTTTCTGTGTGGAGGGTGTGTGAGGGTGCTGTATGTTTTACAAATTTACACACTGTCTCTTGAGGCATTCAATGAATTCCTGACCCCCTTTTCTGTTCTTTAGGCTCAAAAGTTTCTTTCAAATCTCATCCCCTCTTTCTGAAACAATAGAGCTTCCTTCCTTTCAAATAATTTGCCTTGGAATCGGGTCAGTTTTTTACTGTTTTTCAGGTTTCACCTGGGAACAGGAAAAACACAAAAGGGACCTGAGATTTTTGATCACCACTGCCACTACCTAATCTCAGATCTCTGGAGAGGAGGGGGATGGGCAGGCAATCAGAAGCCAGCTGTGCCCTAGACAGCCAACTGTGCTCCTGGGTCTTTAACTTAGAAGAAGTCAAGCAACCAATCAGGAATGCTCTCTGTATGAGGACACATGACCCCCATCAACCAATGGGCAAAAAGTATTTGGGTCTCTATGTCTTGCTTTTCCCCTCCATTTTTCTTCTTTCTTCCTCCCTTCTCTCTCTACTCCCTCACCTCCTAGATTTGCCCTATCTCAGATTCAGAGGGAGGAGTGATCCTGAGCGTATTCTAGCCCCCTCCCTCTGCCCCTGGACCAGCTCTGAGTCATCTTGGACTTGTGTTCTTGTTTTTTTTTTTTTTTTTTTGTTTTTTTTTTTTTTTTTTTTGGTACCAGGGATTGAACTTAGGTCCTTGCGCTTGCAAGGCAAGCGACGGAACCACTGAGCTAAATCCCCGGCCCATGTGTCCTTGTTTTTTTAACAAAGTCGTATGCCAAGGTCTATCTCAGTTGTACAGAGATCTGAAGTTGTGGAAGCATCATCTAGAGTAGCCTCATGTTTGCCACTGTGATCCTGTCCAATTCTCTGCACTTTAGAGAAAAGAACTCTAAATTAGGCTATAGTACAAATGTGAACTATAGCCCTGAATTCAAATTCTGACTAACATTACTCTCCATACACTTACCTTTTAGAAGTTTTCATTTTCTTCTGATCCTCATGAGAACAAGCCTGGCAATTAGAGGAGACCCCTTTTAATTTATTTTTGGGAAGTTCTCCAGGAACCACTAGCTTTATAAAACTGTCTCAAGCATGATTGAGGAAGGGAACCAAAGTAGAGGTTGTTTTTGATAGTCATGTTTGGTACCTCTAGTTTGTCAAATAATTTTGAGCCAGTTAAGAGAAAGGTAAAGAGTAGACACAAAGGATCAGGACCCGCTTCACTCTGCATTTATTTTAAATTTTTACTTTTATTTTATTTTGTGAGACAGTCTCTCTATGTAGTTCAGGCTGGCCCTGAACTCACTATGTAGTCCAGATTGGCCTCCAACTCACAGAGAGACTCTTGCCTTAGCCTCCTGAGTACTGGGATTACAGGCATGTGCCACCATGCCCAGCTTCTTCATCCTCCATTTATATGAGTATTATGAGAGACTAGGTGATGATATGTGTCCTGGCCAAGTTATCAGAGACACAGCCCACTGAAAGTGTGGATTTTGGTTTTGTGTTTACTTGGGTCAGAACAGAGAAGCAATGGGAAAGAAATTTTTTCTGAGCAAGAGCATCTGATAGCACAAGAATATGTGTATGTGTGCCAGAAATACTTGTGTTTTCTGAACAACTAGGTGGGGCCTGAGCCCATACCCTGCTTAATCCAGACCCAGGCATTCTCTCCCTGCCCTCTCCAAAGCTTTATTCCAGGGTAGTTTTCTGCTTAGTTGCCCCCAGCCCCTGTCCACCCCTTCTTGTGATCTTCTTCACTCCTTAACCTAAAGAGCAGGAGTTCTGATGGGCTATGCTACCTAGACCTGTAAGCCTTCATCTGAAGGCATTAAGGATAGGATGTAGGGGTGGGAGGAATAGCTGGTTTTGGGCAGGGCTTTGTAAACACTCCCCTGCTTGTTTGTCTTTTGAGTAGGAGTGTTGAGGACAATGTCACAGGCCAGGTAAGAAAGATTAGCAGGAGAAGCCAGAAAGAAAACAGATCTTCTCAGAAATCATTGGGATCCCACTTCCCAAGCCACCTTCAACCACACTGCTCCATTTGCCTCTTTTATGAGTTAGAATTAAAGCACATACTCATTTTTCCCTGGTGGAGGGTATGATAGGTAGCTTTGTCTGAGACCAACTCTCCCTGTCAGTGAGACCTCTCACCCTGGGCTTACCAGATCCCATCATGGGTGAGGAAAGAAAGACTGGGCTAGGATGGGGTTGAGTCTGTCCACATGGGCACTGGGAAGAGAAATTTTTCAGAGTGCCTCAACTACTTTTAATGCCCAA